CAGTTCAGACAAAACATGTAGCAGTTAATGAACTCATGAAAATGCAACCACTCAAAGCTAAGGCTACGTTTTAGTCATGGGTATTTTTAGTAAAAGTCAAGGACAGGTCACAGGCAGTAAACAAAAATTCACGGCCCATGACTTGTACTATATACCCCTGACTAATCTTGGGTGCTCTGGAGTAGGGTGGCGGGGTGGCCCAGGGGTGCTGCAGGTGCTTGTGGGGGGAGGGGCTGGCAGCTCCCATTGGCTGGGAACCGCAGACAATGGTAGCTGCAGGGCCACCACAAGTGGGCGGAGGCAGCGTGTGGAGCTGCCTGGCCGCACCTCCGCCTAGGAGCTGAAGGAGGAACATGTCACCGCTCCCTGAGGTGAACACCGCCCGGAGCCCTCACTCCCTCCCATGCCCCAACCCCCTGCCCCAGCCCTGAGCCCCCTCTATATCCAAACTCCTGCTGCTGGGGGGAAGTGGGGGGGAAGAGGGGAAGAAGGGGGCGTAGTGGTGGCCCGAGACTGTTCCAGCAGCGGCCGGTGCAGCTGGCCCAGGTGCTGCCTGAGCTGCTCAGGCGGCGCCCAGGCCAGCTGCACCGGCCACTGCAGAAGTAACAGAGATCCTGAAAAGTCACGGAATCCATGACTTCTGTCCCTCTGTGATGAACTCGCAGCCTTACCCATAGCCATATTAATATCTTAAGTTTTCACAGCACCTTTCATTCTAAAGAATGCAAAAGTTCTTTACAAGCTACATAAACAAGCCATTTTACCTACCATAAAAATATAGCCAATTCCAATGTGCAAGGAAATAATTGTTTACAGTTCATAGGAACAGTATATGGCAAGAGAACATGAACTCAGTTTAGTCTGTAGGAAAAACACAATTACCTAAAATAGCATTTGTCATAAGAACATAAGAATGGCCATACTGGGTCAGACCAATGGTCCATCTAACCCAGGATTCTGTCTTCTGAGAGAGGTCAGTGAGAGATGCTTCAGAGGGAACGAACAGACTAGGGCAATTATCAAATGATCTATCCAGTCATCCAGTCTCATCTCTTGGTATTCAGAGGTTTAAGGACACCCAGAGCATAAGGCTGCATCCCTGATCATCTTGGCAAATATCCAATAATAGATCTATCCTCGAACTTATTCAATTCTTTTTTGAACCCAGTTAAACTTTTGGCTTTCACAACATCTCCTGGCAATGAGTTCCACAGGCTGACTGTGCATTGTGTGAACAGGGGCGGCTCCAGGCACCAGCCTGGCAAGCAGGTGCTTGGGGCAGCCTCTCCGGGGAGGGGCGGCACGTCCAGCTATTCGGCAGACGGTCCCTCACTCCTGCTCGGCGCGAAGGACCTCCCGCCGAATTGCTGCCGCAGATCGCAATCGTGATCACGGCTTTTTTTTTTTGGCTGCTTGGGGTGGCCAAAACCCTGGAGCCGGCCCTGTATGTGAAGTAGTACTTCCTCATATTTGTTTTAAACCTGCTGCCTATCAATGGGTGACCTTGGTAACTGTGCTATGTGAAGGGGTAAACAACACTTTTTTACTCACTTTCTCCAAACCACTCATGATTTTAGAGACCTCTATCATATCCCCTCTTAGTCATCTTTTCTAAGCTCAACAGTCCCAATCTTTTTAACCTCTCCTAATATGGAAGCTGTTTCATACCCCTAATGATTTTTGTTGCCCTTTTCTGTACTTTTTGAGATGAGGCAATCTCTCTGACAAAACACCACTGCTGTCTGCATGTGTAAAATCAGAAGTCACTTGAACTAAAAAGTACAGTGAAGAGACAAATTCTGCCCTCAGATATACATGCATAGCTTCCAGCAAAAGTCAGGAAGTGTACGTACATGATGAGGGCAGAATTTCAGAGATCCTCTGCAGGAATCTAAATTAATTTTCTCATTTTTTTAAACATGACAATGTTAACTATGTTAAAGAAATAGAATAATACTCAAATGTAGTGTATCAAAAATCATAGGTCAGTGCCCCCTTCACTCTTTCCATCTACAGCAAGGGTATGTTAGTAAAATACCAAAAGCTCACTAAAATAAATCTGAATACTGGATGTTCACAGAAGAAAAGATTTTTCACTTCTCTTGACTGAGATATAAAATTTAGGGAATGAGAGTCCATAAATTTGAATTTATTTCAGAGAAGTCCTATGGCCTGTTTTACACAGGAGTTCAGATCAGGTGATCATAGTGGTTCCTTCTGGCTTCAGCATATATTCATAAATATAATATCTTTAAGTACCCATTCTATGTTGTGGGAGCTCATCCTACAAGTTGTATATAAATATATTAAAAAAGACTTTCCCCACATATATAAATATTCAAACCCATCCACCACTTAACCTACTACAGTCCCAAACACTTGTGGTTATAGAATCATAAAAATGTAGTGCTGGAAGGGATCTTGAGAAATCATCTCTGTGGCAGCATGACCAAATAAACCTAGGCCATCCCTGACAAAGGTTTGTCCAACTTCTTTTAAAACCCTTCAATGATGGGAATTCCACAACCTCCCTTGAAATCCTATTCCAGAGCTTAGCTACCCTCACAGTTAGAACGTTTTTACTAATATGTAACCTAAAACTCCCTTGCTGCAGATTTAGGGCCTTAATTCTTGTCCTGCCTTCAGTGGACAGAGAGAACAATAGATCAGTCTTTTTATAACAGACTTAACATATTTGAAGACTGCTATCAGGCCCCACCTCAATCATCTTTTCTCAAGACTAAACATGCCCAGTTGTTCCTCAAATCTTCTCTCATAGGTCAGGTTTTCAAAACCTTATCATTTTTGGAGAGAGTCCAAGGGAGAGCAACAATTTGTCCATATCCTTCCTAAAATATGGCACCCAGAACTGGACACAGTACTACAAATGAGGACTCACCAGTGCCAAGTAGTGCAGGACAATTACCTTCCGTGTCCTATATACAACACTCCGAAGTCACCCCAGAATATTAGCCTTTTTTACAGCTGCATCAAATTCAATTTGTGATCATCTATAACTTTGCAGCAGCACTACCACATAACCAGTTATACCCCATTATGTAGTTGTGCATTTGATTTTTATTCTTAATCAAAGTACTATGCACTTGTCTTTATTGAATTTCATCTTGTTGAATTCAGACCAATTCTCCAATTTGTCAAGGTCATTTTGAATTCTAATCCTGTCCTCACAATTGCAAACACTACTTCCTTAGCTTGGTATTATCCACATATTTTATAAGCATACATTCCATTCCAAGTCATGAACAAAAATACTGAATGGTAGCGGCGCCACGACTGACCCTGCAAGACCCCACTAGATGCACCATCCCAGTTTGACAGGGAAGCATTTATAAGCAGTCTAAGTGTGGTCTTTCAACCAACTGTGAATCCACCTTATAGTAATTTCATCTAGACCACATCTCCATGCTTTGTTTATGAGAATATCATGTGGGATTGTGTCAAAACCTTACTAAAATAAAGATACATCACATCCATTGCTTCCCCCCCATCCAATAGGCCAGTAACCCTTTCAAAGAAGGAAATTAGGTTGTTTCGGCATGAATTGTTCTTGACAAATCCATGGTGGCTATTTTTGATAATTCTATCATCCTGCAGATGCTTATAAATGGATTGTTTAACAATTTGTTCCAGTATCTTCCCAGGTACCAAAGTTAGACTGACTGACCTATAATTCCTTGGGTCCTTTAAAGATAGGCAGGTACTATGTTTGCCTTTCTCCAGTCGTCTGGGACCTCATCCATCCTCCAAGAGTTCTCAAAGATCATTGCTAATGGTTCCAAGATTGCTTCAACTAATTCCTTAAGTACCCTAGGATCAATCTCAACAGGCCCTGCTGACTTGAATACATCTAAACTTATCTAAATATTCTTTAACCTGTTCTTTCTCTGCTTTGGCTTGCATTCCTTTCCCTTTGCCGTTGATATTCGTTATGTTGAGTACCTGGGCACTGTTAACCTTTTTGGTGAAGACTGAAGAAAAACAGGCATTAAACACCTCTGTCATCTTCAGTCCAATGGCGTTTTTCACAGCTTCATAGAAGGAATTATGAGCAAGTCTAACCTCCTGCAGACCATAGGCGCTGGGATTTCACTCAATGTTTAGTTGAGTTGGAGCTATCAGTAACGTGTAATTGAAACTGGAGCTATCTTTCAGAAAACATCCAATCTTTATTTAAAGATTCTAAGTGATGGAGAATTTACCAAACCCTTGGTAATTTATTGCAATTACTAACGGCCCTTACCATTAAAAACTTTCATTCTTACTTCTAGCTTAAGTTTTCCATCTTCCAGCCTCTTGATCTTGTTATGCCTTTGTTTGCTATACAGGTTTTTCACAAGACTCTTGTTTGCCACAATGTCTTGGTGAATTCTAACTTGGGCGGAGGCTGGACTCAGGGTTGGAGGAGTTCGGTAGCTGCTTCTGTATGGGTAGTACTTATATTTGAATGTATGGGATGGGCTCCTATAGATAGATGTATATTTTAATAAAAAAATCCATCTCCCTCAATTCCCCATACATTTTCAGTTGGACAATTTATTCACTTCTTCCAACCTGAAGAGTGTGAGATATTGCTGTGCATGTTCAATCAATTGCTGCTAACTTCCAGTGTGGTAAGCAATTCCTATACATAGTTTTAAGAGTGACTTGATCTTTTGGGATGAAAGACACTATATAAATGATCAGAGGGGTAGCCGTGTTAGTCTGAATCTGTAAAAAGCAACAGAGGGTCCTGTGGCACCTTTAAGACTAACAGAAGTATTAGGAGCATAAGCTTTCGTGGGTAAGAATCTCACTTCTTGCATCTGAAGTGCCACAGGACCCTCTGTTACTATATAAATGAATTATTAATTAGTGGAACTGTTCAGGAGTGACAAAGTAGCATGCAATGTTTGGTGGGGAAGTTTGGTCAGGACTGATCCAGATGGGTGAGGACAAAACAAGCCTAAAAGGCTAAACATAAGAAACACCAGCATGCTCACCTGTAACTGCTGTTGCAAATGTGTAATTTCTGCAATTCTCAGTTCTCTAGATTTGTTTGTGCTCTCAATTTCATGTCTTTGGATAGACAATCGACACCTGATATCCTGAAGCTTTCCCTCCAGCTGATGTTTTTTATCATTCTTCAGCAAGAAGAGATACATTTTGGTTACTACAATAATTCATCATGCAAATCTGGATTTTATATGTTTCTAAAACTAAAAATACTCAGTTGTAGAATAAAAACCAAGATGTAATTATGGAAACTAATCAAGACTCTGTAGTGTTTGTTACTGTGATCTTGTACTCCATTTACAATATAATCACCACTATTTTTTTCTCTTAAATACAAGTTTTTTGGAAATGGTTGGTCATATATAGTAAATACTTAAACCTACAAAATTTTAAAAATCTTCACTTACTAGAGCTTCCAACTCAAATTCTAAAGTCTTCTTCTTTGCCTTCAGCACAACTATGTCCTCTTGTTCTTTGTTTCTTTGATTTAGTAGTTCTTGCCGACGATTACGCTCCCACTCAAGTTGTCTTTGCCTTTCAAGTTCCCTTTTTGCAGCCTATAGTATGTAAACAAACAATTACTGTTGAAATGTCCAGTTTGTGAATCTACCCTATTCCCTCATTAGAATAGTTCTAGTATAGTGTACACTGAAAGCATTAATATATGCCCCTGTTCAACAAAGTACTTAAGTATATGCCTAGCTTTAACAACAAGAGAATAATCCCACTGCTTAAAAGTTAGGCATATGCTTAAGACCCTTGGTCAACTGAGGCCACAATCAGCAAAGGTACTACTTTTGAAATATATATACACACTTCTTCCATTTTAATAAATTAACTAACATTTGACATTTCAATAAACTCTGAATAATCACACACTTAATTTCTCAAACACATATGGGAGTAGAAAGTCAAGTGCTGCTCCATTAAATTTTAAAAACAGTTAAAGTCTGGTGATTTCAAAACACAGCAGCTCTTCCTAAGCTTGCCATTGAATTTTTTCTTCACCTAATGTACTGACTGCATCAGAAGCATTAAGAATTTCCAACCCCAAGCAGAAGTCTTTGCTCCTTCATCGAAAGCAAGATCACTTCACGTTGCAAAAAGTTTTAAGGTCAAGAACACTGTGCTACACCTAACTGTCTGATCCATTCAATAGAATGGGAGACATTTCACAAGAAACATCCTAGATTTAGGTAAAGTTGTCTGTATGTACTTCCAGGAAACTTGAAACTGAAGTCTGTTCCTTAACTGTAGCAGGAAAAATAGTTTACTAATAAACCAATTAGTTTCTAAGGAATTATAAACAAGTAAAGACTTTTATAGTAAAGAAAGTATGGTAAAATACTTGCTAGCATACTTTTTTCGGTTTTGTTCAGATCAAAAGACAATTTTCAGAGACACTACTACCTCTGTATCCATTTACCTCACGCCTTTCTATTTCTTTCCGCCTTTCTTCTTCTCTCTGACGTTCCAATTCACGTTGTTTTTCTAATTGCTTTTCTAGCTCCAGTTGTCTTTTACGTTCTTGCTCCTGCCGTTCGCGTTCTTTCCTTTCCTGCTCTGCCCGTTCCAGTTGTGCTAGCCGCTCTTGCTCTTTGCGCTGCTGCTCCAGAAGGGCCTGCCTCCGCTTTTCAAGCTCCAGATTGCCACGTTCAAAGTTCTCACGTTTTTTATCTTCAAACGTAACTTTAACACAAGAAAATGTGAATGGTGAAATTAAGCTTTGCTTTGTCTAAAACAAAAACAAAAGAACAACCACCACCAAACAGAAGGACTATGAAAACAGATTGGTGAACCAAGAACAGTTTGCTACATGCAACGAGTGTCCAACAGTATTCCAACCTCGTTCTCAACTACTGATAAGCAGAACTGTAATGGATACTTATTGATGTTGTCACTGGCACTTATATTGCCATCTCCACCAAAGCCTTCATCCTTACTTGAAGGATGAATTCCAGGCCTACCTTTTGGGCTCCTGTGTACCACAAAGCCCAGCTTCTATCCAGATGTGTATACTGGAGTTTAGGCAGTCCATTCCCCCAATCTTGCATACTCTAGGATTTGGAGTCCCTCAACATATGTGAATTGTATACTATAAAGTGTGTGCTGTTCACTGAGAACCAAAAGTCCAAGTCTTAGTCTAGTAAAAGCTCTGACTTTCCTAGTAGATTAGAAACCACTGCCATGTAGCATCACTGAGGTGGAAGCTAACTTACTACAAAACCAAAAGAGTGCAGGCTATGGTTCATTAATTTATTGAGAAAACTTCTGAAAAATTGTCCAATTGAATCCAGGCAGTGAAGAGCACAATTCTTAAACTACTGTGCTCACCTTGAGCCTCACATTTAATCACTTAATATATTCACTGATTATCATTTTATTTACAGCACTTCGTTTATGATAGAGCAGACACAGAAAGAGGTAAGTTAAGTTTGAGACGCAGTATAACAGCTTAAGAGCAATTTAACTGCAGTTACAAAGGTATCTTTTCTGTGAGCAGCATACTGCATGATTTCAAGATATTTTTCTGATAAAACAACACTAAGACATGAGTGAAAATATGACACCAAGCTTTGGCTGTGTTTCAGTCACTAATTGCCTCAGGGTTAGGTCCGTGATAAAAGTAACAACACATCCCACACAAGACATCAATTTGAGGATTCAATTTAGATCTCTCACTTCAGGATTGGCACTGCCTAGAGGCACTGCACAGAAAGCCTGTTGAGAGGGCGGCAATACTTCACATCTTTCTACCAGGGCCACCATCTTCCTGCTACAAAGGGGTATAGAGTAGATTCATTGAGGTAATTTAGCTGAGTCCAGTCCTCCTTTGCCAGAGGGGCATTCGGGCAGATGTGCAGTTCATAGTGAAGAAAACGGAGTACACTTTGGATTGGTGGAAACAAGTTTTGTTTCTCTAGTTCTCTGAAAAAATGCAGTGAACATTTCAACTGGAAATATGCTGTAAAAACTCATCATGCGGGATAAGCCCAGCTGGCTGCTGGTTGTTACTATTGCTTCACACCAACAACTAAGTATCAATGTAATAAGCCAAGAATTCCTCAATAAAGTTTTAGAGGTTTTAATATCAGAAGCCATTTTGTTAATGTTCAGAAAACCTGATATCTTCTTAAACAGAACTGATTAAAAGTGTATAAAACCATAAAGTACATAGATTACAATGAAACAGACCTGTATATACACACCATGGTTCTGATCCTCCACACAGGCCAAAATGCACTCGGCGCAAGTCGGGGGCGAGGGTCAAAAGTAGGGTTACCATACGTCCGGATTTTCCCGGACATGTCCGGCTTTTGGGGGCTCAAATCCCCGTCCGTGGGGAAATCCCCAAAAGCCGGG